AATAGTTCTTTCTGTAAGATATGAGTTGTACATGTTTTTCCCATTTTGTCATTTGTCTCTGCTTAAGGGTCTGATCTTTACCATTTTCCCCCAATTCTCACTGCCTGTCACAGTTTCTGCCACGTAGGACTTAGGCAGTAATATATGTGGCAAAAACACAGCTTTATGGGGAAAAGAAACATCCAGAAACATGTCTGGAGTAAGAAAGATGCTCAAGATCCCTGCTCTGTGCCTCATATTCACTACACAGAGCCAAGACAGCAACAGAGAATCACACATTCTCCTCCTTTCAATAGCCATAGCCCAGCACCATTTACCTGAGGCTAAGCAGGTACTGACCTGCAATGGAAATCCTGGCGGTCTTTTCCTGGCTGAGGAGGGGATTTCTGATGATACAGGATACCCCTTCCCCAGAGCTGCCTTTCACGATCACAGATGATGCGATTACATACAGGCCCTCTCCATCTGCAACCAAAGATGCTGCCAAAGACGGCATATCTTCTCCTGTGGCATCTCTCCACTCTATTTGGGGCTGAGGATACCAACCGGTGGATGTGCACTCCAGACGGATCCCTCCATCCTCATAACCCCTCATTTCAATGTGAAAATCAGAACCCAGGGCTGTGAAAGGATAAATGAGCCTGAATTCCCTGCAGCCTCCTTTATCAGGGAAAGTCTCAACAAGAATTGAATGACACACTCACATTAGGTAATTCAAGAGGGGTTTCATTAAGGAGCTGTTTACAAAAGCATGGTCATGGTGAGGGGAAAACTACATGGGATATAGAAAAACACCAAGGCCAGGAACAGTGGAGCTGTTACTACCTACCCCAAAACCCAAAGGGAGGAGGAGAGGAAGCCATTTTAAAGACCTAAAATAAGATGGTAATGTAGAGAGGGCTTTCTTAAGAGGAACGGTGATCTTCAGGAAGTGAATGCAGCCAGCTAGAGGTGGTCCTGCAGGGAACAAGCCATGAGGATACGTGCCTAGACCTCTCTCTCCTCTCACCCTCCTTCCATCTTCTGCTATGGCTCCCCATTAGCCAAACCCAGCCAGAAGCCACAGGGCAAGAGAGTGATCTGAGAAAGAGAAATGCAACCCTTGATGTCTGGACATCTGCCTGGTCTTGGTGATCTCCTGTTGAACATAAGCAACTTCATTGAACATCAACATCAGACAAGGGCACTTTGTCACTATGATGGGTCAAGACAAAAACATGACCACTCACACAATCATGTTTGAATATAGAGAAAAATATGAACACTGTCCAAACCACAATCATGACCAAACATTTTCCTATCCTGGCTATGACTGACTGCTGCTCCTTGACCAATTACAGCCTTAACCTCACTCTAATCTTCCTCCTAGATAAGACGTCTTAAGACAGCCACCCACAGAATCACACCCCTCACCTTCCTGACAGCTTCCAATCCAGAGAAAGCCCCACTTCCATTTACCCTCCCCCAACTCCAAACTAACAGAAGCCCAAGTTCTATACCAAGTCTTCTCTAACACCCTCTTACTGAGACATCCCATGGTTCCCACAGGACATGAATTGTCCCCCCGCTGCAAGAAGTATGAAAACGACTTGGTCAACTCCAGGTGTGGTCCTGGCGACCTGTGGTGGGGTGACATTGTCAGCATAGATGCTGTCCCACAGGTCATCTTCCCAGGGCCCACAGCAACATGCACTTGGACGGACCACTGAAGCTACCTGGAACACAACTGAACCCAAACACCTGTGTGCCACCACGGAGGAGATTTTCCTTATCTTTCCTATCCTCGACCTTCCACTTCCCTGCTTAGACCGTGGTGGCCAGCATGAGGGAGCTCTTTACTTGACATTATAGGGTACAGGGGGAATTTTTCCTGGAGGAAAACCTGTGCCTTTCGCAAGCGCCTAGAGAAACAAAGAAGGAAGGCAGTGGAGGCAGATCCTGGTTAACAGCCAGAATCCTCTGAGGGGGATTAGGAGCATGAACTCCGCCTCTGCCCCCAGGTCCCACAGAGGAACGAGCTCAGAATAAAATTAGGAGGCTCACCTGCAACCTCCAGCTCCACCAGGGCTTTTTCAGAGAAGTTTTCATCTTGGAAATAACACAGGTAGCTTCCGCTGTCAGAAGCTCTGACATCGTAAATTCGGAGAGTAGCCTTCCCTTCAGTGATGCCATCTCTTAAAATAGAAGTTCTCCCTCGATATTCTGCCATCTGTTGCTCTTCTACTTCCTGCCCGTTTGCATACTCATATACTACCTGCCCAAGACTAGATTTCACCCACATCAGCTCCATGGTCTCTGCGCTCATCTTCGGGGACAGATGACAGGGGAGATCAGCGTCTTCACCCACCATGGCCAGGATGGGCCCAAGGGGTCCAATCACAGAAAATTCAGCTGGTCAGCAAAAGGAGAAGCTCCATCAGAGGGAGTTGGGGCCATGAGGGTAAGAGCGAGGGGTCTTAGGCAGGGAGGTGAGATATGAAAAACCTAGAGAGGAACAGGATCCTAACAGAAGTACAATTTGTCTTAATGGCATTTGCACCTTCAATCTGGGTTGGGACTTCCAGGTACGAGATGTTCTCAGAGGTTCTGACTGGATGCTAATAGGTAACTCTCTCCTTCAGATGCATAAAAGCAGAATATTCCCTACCTGAGCAAGGGGTAAGCAGCTGGACCAAGATGAGGCAGACAAGGAGGTCGAGCAGAGGGAAGTCTAGGGAACTTGCCATTTTCCTCTGTGCTGCAGAGAGATGCCAAAGACTTAGGCAGAAACTACGACCTGGAAGAAGATGGCGAATTCCACATCAAACCTCCACCTCCCCAGAGCCAGCTCAGAGTGAAAGACACAGTCACTAGTGTGGTGACTCAAGATCTTCCTCTGCCAAAATGTCTGCTTGGGAGTCTCTTAACTTTTGAGCTTCAACAGGGAAAATCACTCATAAAAATATGTAATGCTAATGCCAAAAATATGTGCATACATTTAACATATAAATGTTATGTGTGTAGTGCTAAATGTACATGAATTATCCCTAACCCATCAGGAAATCCTTGGCTCTACCGGCCAAATACGTCAGAATCCTTCCACTTTCCCATACTTCCACTGCTACAGCCAGGTCCAAGCATCCACCATCACACTGATTAATACAGGACCCTCCTCTCTGGGTCCCCTGATTCCACCTGTGTCCCCTACAGTCTATGCTCAACACAACAGCCAGAACATTCCTTGAGTCACATCATGTCACTCCTCTGCTCAGCACCTTCCAGTGGCTCCCATTTCACTCAGAGTAGATGCTGAAGTCCTCACTACGGCCAACATGGCCTTCCAGGACCTGCACCTCTCAATTCCTTTCCCCTACTCTCCTCTTCTGTTCCAGTCACACTGGCTTTCTTGCTGGTCCTTGAACAGGCCAGGACAGAGGACCTCGGCCCTGCCTCTTCCCTCTATCTGGAACCATTTCCCCCCAGATATCCACAAGGCTCACTCCCTCACCTCCTTTAAGTCTTTTCTCTAAAGTCAGTTCCTCCATGAGACCTTCTCTGACCACAGGATTATGGCAAACTGCTCCCATCCTCCTGAGCCTGATCTCTTTCCCCGTTGAATTTTCACCATCTAACATACCATGTTTTTACTGTCTGTCTCCATCTGCTCGAATGGAAGCTCCACAAAGCAGGGATATTTATATATTTTGTTTCCTGATGTATATCAAGCCCACACAACAGTGTGTGGGTCACATGAAACCCTCAGTAAATATTTGTTGAATGAGTGAAGGGATGAGGGGTAACGTATTAACCCGTCAATACTCAATAGAATTTTAAATCGGTTTAGAAGATCACATTAGCTAGTTGTCATCTGATGGGAGGGGAGGTGGAGACTTGTGAAACAAGCATGTGCCTCTATAATGACATGCTCTTTTGGTCTGGCTTAAAGAGCAGAGCTTGACCTCTTGTGCTCCCACTGGGACTTGCCTATATTAATGGATTTATTCCTAATTTTCAATGAAGTGTTTTCAAGGAGACAGCATGTCCTGGATGTGCATGTAAGAATGTTACTACTCAGTGTGCCTCAGTGCACTCTTTTCACAACTGCTCCTTGTGGGAAAACATCTCTGAGAAGGAAATTATTTATTTCCAGTCTTCACCAATGAAGTGTGAACTATTCACCAATGCTTCCAGTGTTTACCAGTGGTCTTAGGCAGATGGGCTCTGGGCTCACCAGCAATTCATAAGTTCCTCGTCTTAGTCTTTCCACTGCTAGAGAAGTGCCATTTCAAGGCAGAGATGTAAGAGCTGGCAGTTGCAAAGTAGGGGCCAATATGTGAAGCTAGGAGCACACAGCAGCCCAACAAAGCTCATGCCTCTAGGAAGTGCTGAGGTCCTCTTAGCTCAGAGGCAGGGCCCCTGTGACTCCCCACTCACAGTCCAGTGCTCCCCACTCTATCGTGGCTCAGAAAAGTGCCTCCACCATCTTTTAGCCATGGTCTGTGGCATCACTGTGAACCTTTGTGATAAGGGAAGTGGGGGCCCTTGCCAGCTGGCAAGGCTTGATTCTAGCTGGAGTTCTAGCTTGGCTTCCATTCTAACTACCGCAGAGTTGGCTGCATCCCTAGATAGTGGACGGTCTGAGAGCAGGCCTAGGTGGATCACTCAGAGACAGGACTGAGATCACTGGACCTACCCCCCTCCTTTCTCCCTTGGTCCTCTCCCATCATGTGTCTTCTCCTTCCCTGAAGATGTCAGATGGAATGGGGTGCTGATAAATGACTTGAGAGTGTGCCCATCTGGGGAGCAACACTGCGGACTCCTCTAAGCCCCAACCCATGGCCGTGACTAAGTTAAACCCACGCCCCCATCAGACTCGGGTTAAGATCTAAGCAGACTCCTGGTGGACACTCTGGAGTCAGTCAGAGGCTGAACCCACCACTTCTAAATCAGAAGGCTAGTGAACAGGAGACCTGGGAACAAGACCAGGCCTCACCCATCTTTTCATTCATTTGTTCATCAAATATTCACTGAGCAAACACTATGTGCCAGGCCCACTATATGTTAGATGTAGGAACAAAAAGCATGTGGAAACTAGGTAATGGCTCTATGATTCACAAGCTGTGTGATCTTAGCCATGTGACAAAACCTGTTTGAATCCAGTCACTCATGAAAAATGGTGAAATATGAACTTTAAAATGTGCATTAATGATCGAGCAATTCTACTCCAGATATCTGGTCCAGTAAAGCACTTCCCTGGGTCCAGAGAGAAGCATGTGTAAGGATGACACTGAAGCATTATTTTTAAAATTAAAAAGTGATGAACGGGGCCGGCCCTGTGGCACAGCAGTTAAATGCACACACTCTGTTTTGGTGGCCCAGGGTTAGCAGGTTCATAAATATTTATTTATTTATTTATTTAATGTGTGTCTGTGCGTGCGAGGAAGATCAGCCCTGAGCTAACATCCATGCCAATCCTCCTCTTTTTGCTGAGGGAAGACTGGCCCTGAGCTAACATCCGTGCAGATCTTCCTCCACTTTATATGGGACGCTGCCACAGCATGGCTTGACAAGCGGTGTGTTGGTGCGCGCCCGGGATCCGAACCCCGGCCGCCAGCAGCAGAGCGCACACACTTAACGGCTACGCCACGGTGCCGTCCCCGGGTTCACAGGTTCAGATCCCGGGCACGCACTGATGCACCGCTTGTTAAGCCATGCTGTGGCAGCCTCCCATATAAAGTAGAGGAAGATGGGCACAGATGTTAGCCCAGGGCCAATCTTCCTCAGCCAAAAGAGGAGGATTGGCATCGGATGTTAGCTCAAGGCTAGTTTTCCTCAAAAAAATAAAAAAGAGATCAACAACCTAACGAGCCACCCACAGGAGACTGGTTAGTTAAATAATGGCTCATCCCTATGATGGAGTTCAGTGTGACATTTAAGACTAATTTATACTCACTAACCCACATAATCAAGATATGTTAAGTGAACAAAAAGCACACTGAGGAACAGAAGTAATGATTCTACTAAAAAACAAAAACAAAACTATAAATTTGTATATGTAGGTTTATATAATTGCCTTAGAAAAGGTCTAAAGGGGGGGGCCAGCCCCGTGGCCCTGTTTTGTAGTGGTTAAGTGCACGTGCTCCTCCGCTGGTGGCCCGGGGTTCGGATCCTGGGCGCGCACCGACGCACCGCTTGTCAAGCCATGTTGTGGCGGCGTCCCATATAAAGTAGAGGAAGATGGGCACGGATGTTAGCCCAGGGCCAGTCTTCCTCAGCAAAAAGAGGAGGATTGGCAGATGTTAGCTCAGGGCTGATCTTCCTCACAAAAAAAAGAATAAAAGATCTAAAAGGATACATGTTACACTGAGAACTGGAGATTGAGTGAAAGATACTTTTGTCCTTTGTGCCCTATACTTTGAAAATTATTTGAACGTTTAAAATTTTAAAAGTTTTCATGTATAACTTAACAATTAAAAATTGTTACAAGTAATTATAGTGACTACAACACATTAGTTGTTCAGAAAATACCAACTCCTCCCAAACAAACCAACATGAGGCCGCCAGTCACAGTACCTGCCAGTCCGGGAACTTCCGGGGGACAAGGGAGCAGAAGTCTGTGCAGCTGGCTCTCCTTCAGACCCTTGTCTGAAACCTGGACACACCCTCAGACAGAATATTGCCTTTCAGTCCATCCTCTCTTCTTCAAACTCTTCTCTATGTTGTTAGAGAGAAGACAGTACTATCATTATTATAATAGGTAAGAACTTCTCTACTGTCGTCAGCATGGGGAGTATATTTTTACTTATTTTTTAGGTTATTTATTGTTTTATCCAATATAAAGTTGATTATAGATAATTTTAAGATGAAGAAAAATAAAAAAGAATAAAATTGATTATTAAATAATCTGTGATGGTAATCATATATTTTGCTTTATGGGAATGTAAATATTTCTGGAAGTATTTTGGCCATATATTTATACCAAATGTCTTAAAAATGTTTTAACTTTGACCCAAAATTCCACTTGTAGGAATTACTCTTAAAGAAAAGAAATCAGATGTTAACACAAAGATTTATGTTTAAGGCTGTTCATCACAGTAAAATCTACAATAGCAAAATGTAGATACAATTTAAATATCCAATTTGGATCCAGTATTGTTACAATTATAAATAAAAACTCTTTACTAAAAACATGATTCCTAGTGACCGTATGGAAATCCCCTACGATTGGACAATGTGTTGTTTAACTGCCCTCAAACTGTTGCATATGTACATGTATGTTGTATATAGAGATTTGTTCAGGTTTTCTATATTACAAATAATTCTGTAATGATCATCTTTACATATAAATCTTTAAGGCACATCTCTTCTTAGAATCTTTTAGGATATATCCCCAGAGATGACCAGGAGAGATTACAAGAGTCCTTTGCTCCTTTCTGACCTGCATGTTCCTAAGAACATGCAGTTGGGAAGTTTCTTCATTCAGGTTGTCTCCCTCCTACCAGATTTCCCAGTGCAAGTCCTTACCTTTTGCACTGCCTCCTACCTGCACCCCACATCCCCTTACCACACACACAAGCAACAAACCCCTTCTCTGGGCGTACCCACTCTCGGTTTTTTAGCCTTTCTCTTTCTTGTGCCTGTGGCCCTGTCTTTTACCAATTTCCCCCACTTACCCTTTGGCACTCCCATATGAAAATCACAGTCCACAGAATGACAGCAACAGTTCTCCATTATAGTTAACAGTCTGCTCTGGAAGAAAGGGAAAAGAAAGAAAGGCTGCTCACTGTGGGAAAAAGGAGCAGAGTCCCTCTTTGGAAGAATTCGTATTTTGATTGGCTCAGGGGGGTGTCTATCATCAGTTGCTGGGCAGAAACTAGTGCAGAGGATTAGAATGAGAACTGAAACTGTATTGGATTGTACAAAATGAAGAAAAATTACAGTCCTGATTCCCACATTCTTTGTGTCTCTCTGTGTTTACCTATTTTAGTCATTCATGTATATTTTTGTGTATAATCAGTATTTCATTATATACACCTGTGTTATGTCCTTTATATCATAATAGATTTATCAGCAGAACTAAGCAGATAAATTACAAGATTTTAATGTGTGAAGAGAGGAAGATGTGCAATAATTAAAATGTCTCTGTGGCCATTTGCTGACATCCGTGTGCGTGTAGGTGGACACACAGAGGAGGACATCTTTTACAGCAGAGCCAAATGGAAGTACGAATGGAAGGAAAACCAGATCCCCTCCACCTTTTCAGCACCTCTGAAACTCAGGTCTCAGATCCACAACCACATCATATAATTTTCAGGTTTCCAGAGGCTGTGCTGCCAGTGACTGATGGGCACGTCTTAGATTTTTCAGAACATTCTTATTTGGAGTGTTGCTGAGCAACTTCTCTCACTGCCTGTGCCATATTGTGCTACATTTGTATTTTCACATGTATTTGTTTCTACTCTTCCCACAGGATTCTGTATTCTCTGAGGTTAGACTCTGGATAGGCTGTGAAGGCTGTTTCTATAAGGTGTCTTAGGGACAAACTGGTCCTACTGTGGCCTAGGGCCTCTCAAGACACTTTAGTGTCATCTCAAGATGGTGATTAAGCTCTTAGGGCTGTGATGTGACCTTGGCTGATGGAATTTGATAACATTTCAACAGTTTTAATTTAGGTTCTGTGGTAGACATGGCTGTTGCTTGTGCAATGTCTATTCCTTGCTTCTTTTTACTAATCTAACTCAGTTTTGGGGAGTCCTGCCATGTGCCCATTCCTCTTATAGATAGTAGAGAACAAGGGGCTAAGTTTGAGCCAATGATTTGTAGGTGGAAGTTGTTGGCTTCCGTTTCTCAAGAGAGGTCCATACTCTTCCCACTTCCTCCTTCCTTTACCTAGAACATGGTCCTTGGAGCTGGAGTGCAGTGACCATCTCATGACCATGAAGCAACCTTGAGAATGCAAGCCACCTGTCGAGATGGCAGAAAACAAAGACAGAAGGAGTCTGGGGCATGGATGCTTCTCTGAGCTGCCAGACCAGCTCTGGACTGCTGCCCTCTGAATTCATTTTACATGGAAGGAAAACAAACGCTTGTTTTGTTTAAACCCGTGGTACTTATGGTTTCTGTTATCAGAAGCAAAATACAATTTTCCCCTCCCCACCCCCAACTAACAAAAGTTTATCATGAAACTTTTCAAATATGTAGCAAAGTTGAAAGACTGTTTTCAATGAACACCAAATATACCTACTATCTAGATTCTATAGTGAACATTTTACTATGCTTTCCTTACAATAATCAATCCTTCTGTTCATCTCCTATTCATCCTTCTTTGTTTATTCATTTTTTTGATGCATTTTCAAGTAAGTTTCAGGATGGTGTCAAGATGGTGGCATAGGCAGACTCTGAACTCACCTCCTTCCATGGACACAATGAATTTACAACTATTCCTGAACAATTACCCCTAAGAGAGAATTGAAAACTGGATTAAAAAAACAAAAAACCCAGACAAGTGATGGTGCTGACTGAGGTGGAAGAGACGGAAACTCCTTTCTGGAGAGAAAAAAGCCACCCTCTAGCTGCAACGTTGCATGACCATCCACAAGCAACCCTAAGGTGTGAAGCCTTCCCTGGAGGGGTGGGGGATCTGAGCAGGGGAGCATTACCACAATAAGCAGCTTTTGGACTCAGCACAACTGAGACAAGTGTCATAATACCTGGCCTTGCTGGCTATTAACGAGAACGGGAAATAGCCCCAGAAAAGCTATCAGACATAAGGGAAGAAAAGCCTGCTCTTAAAAGACCCGTGTGCAAATGCACCCATTTTAGAAAGCAACCTAAAATCACCAGAAAGAAAGTTGCACAGTCTTTTGGTGAAAAGAGACTCACCTGATAGGCTCTGGGTGCATGTTGATGAGAGTTGAGACCTCTCCAGGGACTGAGACATTGGTGCAGCCATTATTGTGGCCTAGTACAGGTATGCTGACACAAACTTTGGCAGAGGTTCTTCCCTCTGCCTGTTAGCACAGGGGTCTGCGCCACCCACTAGAGCAGCAATTTAATCCAGCTCAACCAAGGCAGGCAGCCCACCCTAGAGCCTGGCCCCACCCAATAGCAAGCCCTCAGGCAACTTGTGGGCCTGCATATGCAAGTGTCTAGAACTTCTGCAACTGGGGGAGTAGGTCTGCCTCTTTGGGATAGGGCATGAGTGAGGGGCAGGCCTGTGTTGATGGAGTGTGTGGAGCCTCTGCAGTGGGATGACTGGGTCCACTTCAGTGGGTCAGGGCATACCCACAGGGCAGGACTCTGTTGACATGGTGTGTGGGCCTGCGGGGAATGGGGCCTCTGAGCTGCAGCAGACATGTGCTTCCCAAACAGCCACGTAGGGGATTGGCCCCACCTTTCAAAGCCTGAAACAATTGGGTGCTCCCATTCCTGGGGGCAGCCCCGCTCAGCTGCAACCCTGAGAGAGATGACAATAGCTTCACAAGCCAGAGGCCTGCAGCAATTGTAAGCCCCTGAGTCTAGCAAACACCCATGCTGGGGGCCTAATCACTTAACAGAAAAACTGCAACAGGAATATGCTATTAGACCTTGGAGCCAACTGTGCTGGGGCTCCCCACACCCAATAAAGTGACTGAAAGGACCATAGCACCTCGACACAGCTGAGCATTATAACAAGCTGGCCAAGAGGACAGCCTAGCCTCCCCAGGCACCTGTAGCAAGACCAACCCTGCCACAACAGAAAGACACACATAGCCACACAGGGGACACTCCTGGAACATTTGGAATTGGTGACAAGAGGAAAGCACATTGCTGGGCCTCTTAAGGCATCTTTTACATAAAGCCACCTCTCCAAGATCGTGAGACATAGCTGACGTACCTAATACACAGACACAAGCACAGGGAAAGGGGCAAAATGAGGAGGCAAAGGAATACATTCCAAGCAAGGGAACAGGACAAAACCCCAGAAAAAGGACTAAACAAAACAAAAATAAACAATCTAACTGACAAACAGTTCAAACAAACAGTCATAAGGAAGGTCACTGATCTTGGGACAAGAGTGGATGAACTCAGTGAGAACTTCAACAAAGAATTGGAAAATATAAAAAGAACCAATCAGAAATGAAGCATACAATACTGGAAATGAGAAATTCACTAGAAAGACTCAGTAGCAGAGTAGATGATACAGAAAATGGATCAGCAAGCTGGACAAAAGACTAAAGGAAATCACCCAAGCTGAACAGATAAAAGGAAAAATAATTAACAAGAATGAGGACAGTCTAAGGGATCTGGGACATCATCAAGTGCACTAACATCCATGTTATAGGTGTCCCAGAAGGACAAGAGAGAGACAAAGGGGTAGAGAATATATTTGAAGAAATAATAGCTTAAAACTTTCCTAACTTAAGGAAGGAAGCAGACATCTAGGTACAGGAAGCACCGAGAGCACCAAACAAGATAAACCCAAAAAGGCCCGCTCCAAGACACGTTATAAATAAAATGTCAAGAATTAGAGATAAAGAGAGAATCCTAAAAGCTGCAAGAGAAAGGCAACAAGTTGCATACAAAGGAAAGCCCATAAGGCTATCAGCTGACTACTCAGCAGAAATCTTACAGGCTAGAAGGAAGTGGCATGATATATTTAAAGTGCTGACAGGAAAAACCTACAGCCAAGAATACTCTACCCAGAAAGCTTGTCACTAGGAATAGAAGAAGAGATAAAGTTTCCCAGACAAGCAAAAACTAAAGGAGCTTATCACCAAGAAACAAGCTTTACAAGAAATGCTAAAAGGACTTATTTAAGTGGAAAAGACAAGACCACAAATAGGAATAAGAAAATTGTCAAAAATAAAAAAAGCAATAAAATCATTGGTAAAGGCAAATATACAATAAAAGTAGCAGATCTACCGCCTATGAAGCTAATATGAAAGTGAAAAGACAAAAGTACTAAAATTATCTATTTCCATGATAAGAAGGTAATGGATACATAAGCATAAAAAACAAAACAAAACAAAAAAAACCTTAGATATAATATTAAGAACATAAAATGTGGAAGGGGGAGTGAAATAGTAGATATTTTAGCAAGAGGTCAAATTAAAGAGACTATCAATTTAATATAGATTGCTATACATGTACATGATTGTATACAAACCCTATGGTAATCATCAACGAGAAACCTATAATTAATACACAAAAAATTAAGAGAAAGGAACCCAAACATAACACTAAAGAAAGCCATCAAACCACAAGGCAAGAGAGTGAAGAGAAGAAAAAAGGAATAGAGAAGAACTACTAAAACACCCAGAAAAAAGTAATGGAATGGCAACAAGTAAATTCTTATGAATAGCTCCTTTACTTGTCAATGGACTAAACACGCCAATCAAAAGGCATAGGGTGGTAGATTGGATTAAAAAAACAAGACCCATATATATATGCTGCATACAAGAGACACACGTCAGGCCTAAATACACTCACAAACTGAAAGGGAAGGAATGGAAAAAGATACTCCATGCAAATGGCAATGAAAAGAAAGCTGGTGTAGCAATACTTATATAGACAAAATACAGTTTTTTAAAACAAAAACTGTAACAGGAAACAAAGAAGGGCACTGCATAATGATCAAGGGAACAATCCAACAAAAGGATATAACATTGGTAAATATATATGCACCGAACATAGGAGCACCTAAACATATAAAGCAATTATTAACAGACATAAAAAGAGAAATAGACAGTAACACAATAATAATAGGGGACTTTAACACTCCACTTACACCAAT